AGATGTCTTCTTTTACTTCTAAATTAGTACTAGCTCTTATAGTTAGTGCTTTTGCTGTTGCAACTGCAGGTACTATTGACGAAAATTTTGAAATAACATGGGGTGAAGGCAGAGCAAAGATGCTAAATAATGGAGAGCTTCTAACTCTCTCACTTGACAAAATCTCAGGCTCAGGTTTTCAATCCAAGAATGAATATCTCTTTGGTAAAATAGACATGCAGCTCAAACTTGTCCCTGGCAACTCTGCTGGCACTGTCACTGCTTACTATGTAAGTGTTTTTCCTTCTTTTTTTACCGGTCTAAGTTATTTTTTAGCGTTGACGTAACTAGTAAAGTTGTTGCCACGTGATCGGTAAGTTATGGGTTCAAACCGTAAAAACTTGCAGAAATATAGGATAATACTGCATATAATACACTCTTGTAGTCCGTTTCTTCCGGAACCCAGCACATAGCGAAATTTGAGTGCACTGAGCTGTTTTTTTTGGGTCTAAATCATTTCTTAACTAGCTAGATTATATGTTTATTGAGAGTTGAAATGGAATTGATATTTTTTTGAATTTATTGCAGTTGTCATCGCAAGGACCAACACATGATGAGATAGATTTTGAATTCTTGGGAAATCTAAGTGGTGATCCTTATACTTTACATACTAATGTATTTAGCCAAGGCAAAGGCAACAGAGAGCAACAATTCCATCTTTGGTTTGACCCTACTGCTGATTTTCACACTTATTCCATCCTCTGGAATCCACAACGCATTATGTAAGTTACCATATTATATTGTTACTTTAAATATAATATTTATTTTGATTATTACTTAACTTTTATTGTATCGTATGGTGAAGTTTGTCGTTTCATAGCAACTAAAAGTGTTACATGTGGTTGCATTGTTGCCTTATTTTTTCTCTCATTTTGTCATTCTTTTTATTATTAAATAATTATACTTTATCCTTACCTCACCTTTTTATAGTAATAATTTACTTCCTACCCAACTTTTTCTTTATAGTATTCCAACTTTATTTTTAGTATTGTTGGTAAATGACATCGTAAAACGCCGTCAAACGAATAATCTATTCAAATATTGTATTCATCAAAATAATACATTATGAAACCAAAATAATACATTATGAAACGATTCGTACCAACCGTTCAAACAAGCTGTTAAAGAACTTTGACTATTTTTTCAAAATCTTTGACTTTCTTGGAAATAAATTTTGACTTAAGATTTTCTTGTTTTTTTGGTTGAACAGATTTTATGTGGATGGAACACCAATTAGAGAATACAAAAATTCAGAA